CGACACGACCAATTTTATTTAATGATAACGCACAAAAAAATCTTTTACAAAATTACAAACACCATAACTATAGATTTGTTGCATAATTCGGAGGCACTCTAAAATCGGAGGCTCCATGCGACCGCACCGCCTGGACACCCATGACCGCCAATGTCGACTATATTGTCGCACCGATCATCTAAAAAACGTATGATTGTTCGGACTTAGCATATACAAAAATGGGTGCTCAATATTTTTTGAGTTATTTACGAAGTTATTTTAGTATTATCAGTTATTTTTTATTTATTTTGATAGTTTCCTTTGGCGTTTAAGATTTCTATGGTTTTAGACTTATTATAAATAAAAGATGTGTCATCAAATTTATAATGTTTCTTAAGGATTTATAAAAATTAAGACTATATTTTCAAGAGTAAGGACTGCTCTTATTGTTCTTCATGTTCGTCTAATCGGTCATTATATTATGTGTCATACACCATCAGTTGGCACCAAAGCTCGTCTGGTCGGCCATGGAAGACCTTTTGTAACTACAAACATTTGGAACGCATGACATGACGATGAGTTATTTTTGTTATAGATTCCAAATTAAATACAATCGTTTAGTGTTGTAACACCTCCTACTTTAGTTATTGTTGTGAATATCTATTACAAAGTTTATTCAGTAACCTGTAGGTGGAAAACATTCAGTAAATATCAATTCACATTTTTGTAAGTTAGCTATATCATTTTCATTTGATTTAGTTAAATGTATAGTTGTTGATCTTGTTGTAGGTGAAACGAATTCATACACAACCAGTATGGACTTTAAGCCACATGTGATACAGGTTTCTCCTGGAGAGGTAGCTATTTGCAAAAGCTCTTATGTTTGAACCTTAATTAAATATTTTGTGTAATTGTTGATCAATGATTGTTTTTTATCATTAAACTGTGTAGGATGTAACTAGAAAAATACTTGCTCTTTTTAAAACCGGTCCAAGATGCATCTCCATTTTATCAGCAAATGGTACCATTTATAATGTCATGATTCGTCAGCCAGGTTATGGTTCAAGTGATGTTTTGCTGAAATATGAGGTATTTAAATACTCGTATTCATACAATTTTTTGCTGCATATCAATCTGATTTATTCTACTTATAAAATTATTACATATCATGAAACCAGAGATTGGGATATGAAGCTTAACTAACACAATCTAATAAAAAATTTGGATTAAAATGTGGATGGAAAAGGCGTTTAGTTTCACACGCTTTTGCTCTATTAATTGAAGAAAAGTGTCTTTCTTATATTGTGTAAATCATGATTGATGCTTGTATTCTTTGCCATGTGGTAAGCACACCATATCGGCATGAAAGTAATAATAAATATTTGAAATAAAAAGAAATGAAAAAAAAGGTACATATATGTATATATTATTCGATATCTACATTCGAAAAAAAAACCGTTTAGTGGTGATTTTGTTTATATACAAACGAGAATTGTTTGCAAGAGTCTATAAACAATATTTATAAGTTTGTAAACACAACCTTTTATATTTGCTAGAGTAATTTTCCATTTGATTATTCATGTAGTCGTAATTACTATATATTATGCCCAATCCTTTAAGGCTATTGTAAAACTAGTCAAGCATCGTATATGTTAGTATATCTTACATCGGTGCCAGATGGTCTTGTCAATATCCATATATGTTGGATAATTCATTCTCTCCATAAGGGCTCCTTTGAAGAGTTAATATAAGGCTCCACTTATATCTTACACAATATCTAGTCCACATCGGCACCCTAAAGGCTTAACATATCCATTTCTATCCTCAATCCTTCTCGAGCATCTGTCTTTGAAGGGGAGTGTTAGTTTATCTCATATCAGTACGACACGGTCCAATAAATGTTCATATGTTAGAGTCTCGTTCTCCTTACAAGGGAATTTTTCTTGGAGAGACGATATTGCACTCCATATATATATATATATATATATATATATATATATATATATATATATTACATTGTCTTAATTAGATTCAACGTTTGTACCCCTATGATTCAACACATCATTGTTAGTTCTCATCGAGCCTCTATCTCTAAGAAAATTGTTAGTGTATCACACATCGGTGCAAACACAATTCTATTAATGTCTATATATGTTGGAATTCCCCTTGTTTCCATAAATGCTCTTTTAGAGACTTAATATGGGGCTCCATATATCTTATAATATGTGTTAATATGGATCCTGTTATAAACATCATGTTTAAAATGGGATATGGATCACAATCAATCTTGGTGTTCAACTTTTGGTAATACGCGTTAGATGTCTAACTCTCAACACATAATAAGAACAAATCTTATCTTGACAACATATGCTTCTTGTATAGTTTGTACCACATCTGATAATAGCCTTTATAACTTCCTAGTCAAAGAACAAAATATAACCATATCAAAGTATAGTGCTCCCTACACTCGAGTCCTAATATGCATCTCATGTATTAAGGATACATGAGTTGATCTTGAAACGGGTCATATCCAATACTTGTTATCTAACAAGTACCTATGAATCTTGGTTACAACCCTTTTCCTACTTTCATCATATAAAAGTCCACCAATTCAATTCATCGTCTTAGTTCATAATTGTTCCCATAATTAGGACTGGCTATGAACTTTTGAATAATTAGATTATTCATGGACTAAACATGTTAGTATAGAACACAACAAAAATTAATGTAAAGATCTTATCCCGGTATATCAAAACAATATAATAGGTGTTATCGCAATGTTCAAATATCCAAATACTAAATCCAAACTAAATCCTATTTCTAGAATAACGAAGTCATATATCTCAAGCATGACCATTAATTTATAGCTTATGGAAGGATTTCATTAATGAGTATGACTAAATTTAATTTGTGCAAATTTTATGAATATGGTTATCTCCATATTTAACTTTATTCTATGTATAGTTAAATATCTTGGAGAATATGATTGGTATTCTGATCTTACTTAGAGTTCTTAGCTTAATTAAGTATACTCTTGAAGTCACAAAAGACTTTTAGGTGATCATTGAATGGAATGACCCATCCTAGGTTTTCAATGATCTTCTTCATCCAATCATATTAGATTCCAGATTTTGAATTGACAGTGTATTCTATTCAATAATAAAATGTGCAGTTATGTTTTGTATGGAGCTAGTTCCTAAAAAACTCATTCTTCATTAATAATGCTGACATAACCCAATTATAATTCAGAATTATCTCTATTTTTTTGAAGTCGACATCTTGTTTGATAATTTACATAAAGAACTTCTAAACAAATTAAATCATGAACATTCTCTAGTTCTTCTTAAGTACCTTATATAATGTTCTTATAGTAATATAATGACTTTCCCAAGTATCTTATTTGTATCTTATGATATGCTCATAGCATAATCATATACCTTGTCTTATCCATAATATGGCATAAATGATCAATTCATTTCTCAATACAAATAGAATACGAATCATTATATATATCTTGAACCTTTGTTCTAGGTCCTTTTAGGGCAAGCTCAAATTAGTGTCATGTGACATTGTCAAGAATCCTTTTAAGTAATATTACATTTGGATCCTTTTCACGATATTGTCAACGTATGCATAAAGATTTAAAACTTTAACATTCATCTTTATATATCTCCATATATTTACATTCCAAGATTGTAGTTTGTCACTAATAAGTCTTTCATTTTAGAAACAGTTTCCGAGTCAAGGCGGAACAATCTTACATCGTCGAAATGTAGTTTCTCACGATTAAGTATGTCTTATTCATACAATATTAGGAACATCACTATGCTCCTACTCGTTCTAAGTAAACACAAACGTTATTAATTCTTATAGAACGGAAAGAGAAAGATAATGCATGGTAGTGAGATTAGAATTTGCTTTCCTCGTACAAAACTTAATAGAATTCATGACTAGTTTCAATATCTAAATCTTTAATAATTAATACCTTCTAATTTTCTAAAACATTAATTATCAAAGTCTATGATCCAAGTTGCAAAATAAATAATTTTCTAGGTGACATTTCTCCAATTTATTCAATTCAACTAGCTAGATATCGATTATAAATTATATTATAATATATAATTTATAGCATTATTGGATCACTAACAACTTTTGTTAATCGACATGTTTAATTACATCTATGCTTCAGACATCTTTTACTTAGGTGGCCTTTTTTCAAAAGATTTCTGATTAAATGATCCAGTTTGAGGAACATGTGTAATCATCCTGTAACTAGTTTGGTGACCTTTTTCCCCACAACCTTATACAAATGATGTGTGAGTGCTTTCAAAGTGGACGGAATAGACTTCAGTTTTATAAGGGGTCTTTGTATGTTTTATCATATTAGTTTTTAAAAACATATGATATTGTGGTTATTCCTTGCATCCAATAAGTCATGGTACCATTTTGTTAAAATCATATTTTATAGCACTGTTTTTTTATAAAATCCAATTTTATATAACAGAGTCGATCAAATTTTAAATTTAATATGTAGTATTAAGGTTTGAAGTTTGAGAATTAAGGAACATTTATAAACCTATTAATAAAACTTCATTTTATTATATAAGGTTTTGGGTTTGATAATTCTGTAAAATCCAAATGTTAAAATTATAAAATTTTAATCGTCATAATTAGATGTTAGCTAGTTTTAAACGATAAAACTCATTTTTATTTATTAACATTTTTATCATCTTATATTAAAAGAAAATTTTCATTAAGACCAAACTCCATTTGATCATGATCATTTTATGTATAAAATGGTATCTATCATTTAAAATCTTATTTTACAAACAAGCATAATATTAACATAAAAATAAGCATCACAAAGAATTAAACATATGGTCGTAAACCAACCATACACTAATGACATTTTGTAAACCATCACAAAAATGTCAAGTCCATTCCTAAGGGACACTAGGGACCAAAAACTTATATAATGTCTTCATGATCCCGCTTGCTTCAACACATCGTAGCAAGTTCATGAAATGATTTTATAAAGTTTATAAAACTTTAACAAAATCAAGTGCATGATCATTTTCTCTTCAAATAACCACCATCTTTATTCTAGTTACATTTAAAAAAAATTAAACTATTATAACAAATAATTTACTTACAAAAATAAACAATATAAAAGTTATCTATTTAATTATTACATACAATATGAATAAATAAATAATACAATCATTTCAAAAAATCAACACAAACATCATCGTAGATGAAGTCGTTAATTAAAACAACCATAGAAATAAAAGATTACAACATTTGAAGTCGTTGATTATCATAGGATATTAGAAGTTTATGAAGTGTGGCAAAAGACTCAAAGTAGAGTTTCTCTAGAATTATCCACCAAACAAGCTTTAGCCACCGATGATGCTAGTCTTCTCTTGTATTAAGCACTACTTAAGCCATTAAGAACTAATACCAAATTAGTCTTCAGGAGAATGAACTTAAAAGGACCTTAACTCTACACTAAATAAGGCAAGAGAGGATAGGGGAGAGAAAAAACATGCTCTTGGCTTTGAGAGAAAAATAAGAACAATTTATTATCCAAATAAACTAGCATTGCACCCCTTTATATACATGAAAATATGTAGTAAGAGTCATACTTTCAATTAATGCTAAGTACGGAGATGTAAGGAAGTATGGTGTGTAAGATGCAAGTCAAACAAGCAATCCCTATTATTCTCTTTAAATTTTTAGGCTTACACACTCAACATAAGAGTGATGTGACTTTTACTAGCTTTTATGAATCAATATATACTAGTATTAATATCAATTAACTTCAATATGTTCAAAAATATATACACAAGTTATTAATTCATACCTTATGAATTATTAGTTGTTTTCCCTCTAGAAAATATTAATTTCATAAAATAGTAATTTCCTAATTAAATATGAGAGTTAATAATATCTATTAGTAATCAAATTCTAATTAATAATCAATAAGTGTCTACTCGCTATAAGGTGTCACCTTATAGAATCATGTGTTATTAGCAAATAACATTCTATAATGATGATTGTGCATATATGTAACACCCCGATTTCCATAT